GTTTCTTGTTTCATTTTGGGCAACACCTCAGGGTTATGGTTTGTCAGTCCAGACTTACTGGCTGGTTAATGTTCATCTGGTAGCTTAAAGGAATACTTCAAGATGCATTGATTATAGTTCTTAATAATGCAAAGAAGAATAACCAAGCAAGATCCTTGCTTTTGACTTGACATTTTTCTGCTTTAAGGTTTTCATTATGGTGTGTAAAGCATAATTATTTTATTTTCATTTTGGGTTGCACCACTTATCTAGAATAGTCAGTCAGTACAAGGTGATGAGGCGTTGGTGTCTGAACCAGAAAATGGAAGTTGTTCAGCCCTTTCGGGATCAGAGAGACACCCAGGACCTAGAAGTGTCTGCTCCACGGCCCCTGCAGAGCCCAGCACAGCCGTCCTGAAGCAGAGCGGACCGCACGTGGGTGCTGGCACGGCCAGGGCGCGGAGCCCGGCGAGGAGCAGAGCCCAGCTCCAGGAGGTGCGTCGCTCTTAGAACCCTGTTCTTGAAACCCATTTCTTTGGCATGGTATGTGGCAATTCACTATTAGGTTTCTGAATTTTAAAGTAAAATACCCAGATCAACTAAACAGTTCACCTGATGTGTAATTGGATGAAGGACGTAATAAATTCATAATAGCATTATCTGAGAGAACTCCTGGGTTGGCCAGAGGGCCTTAGGTATAGCAAGAGCTGCTTGCCTCTGACTTTTGGAATAATTATAACCTGTGCTTTCATGGAAGCAGTTTAGAAAACAACATAATGTTTTCCCTTTTTTTGTAAAAAGTTTCAAGGTATAAAAGCATATTTCAGGTTTTAAGTTCTAGACTCTCCATTCCTCTATTCCAGCCCCTCGAAAGTAGCTTTACTGAGTTTAGTTGAATTGGCTTAGAAAAGTAGAACCCTAAGCTCGCGCAGGTTGTCTTTGGCCAGGATGTACTCGCTTGTCTGCTAACGACCAGATGAGGATCTTAAAAGAGGTGAAAAATCGCGTGAGATGGCACGAGATACGTTAGTGAGACAGCTGGCCCCAGAAGGAGTGGCTGTCAGGCCCAGGGCCTCCAAACTCCTGCACACAGGGGAAGACGTGGTTTTCAGAAAGGAAGTGGGTTTCCTAGAAAGCTTCACGAGGTTACGTGTTCTAGCGGGAAGCTTAAACCCTGGTGAATTCGCTTTTCTCCCAGTGGGGCTTGTTAATGAATCCTGGATGACTAATTTTGGGGAGTAGGGGGGGAGATATTCTCTGACTCGATTCATTTATTAACATTCAAAATAGCCATCGTCTTCTGGCACTTTCCACGGGGCAGCTCAGCCACGCTGACTGCTGTGCGCCGAGCTAGGTTCCATCCTGAAACTCAGGCTATTAACTCACATAAGGTTACTCCGCAGACGGGGCAGACCCGGAATTTGAATCGAGGGTGTGTGGTCTCTACTAAGTAGGAGCGTGTGGTAGCGCCTGAGATCAGTGAGGCCTGGCCTACCGGGTGCATCAGTGACCCTGACCTATCAGCCTGCCTGATAGGCCCCATCTGTCGGCCAGAGTCAAGGACTGCTCTGAACAGGGCCCTCTCCTTCTTATTATAGAAGGGAATCTCCCCAGAAGTGGGCGCTACTTTGCACACCAACCGGGTGTCCAGCTAGTATCAGGCCCTGTCCTGGGTGTGGGGGACACTGTGCATCACGGAGGCAGGGGCCCTGCTCTGGGGGGAAAAATGACAGCCAGGGTGGTCAGCGACAGCACTGTCAGGTGGGCAGGGTGTGGAGCAGAGAACTGAGGAGATGGCCTCCTGCCATTGTGATGCTTGAACGTCGCGGGGGATAAGGCCCCGTGTTCCGACCTCCTCACACCGCCAGGGTGTTGGGAGCCAGCTGGTCATCTTTCTCTAAGGGCTTTTGAGAGTCATAATTAAACATCTTTAACTTGCAAATGAAAAGGTTTCCTTTTGCTTTTCTGACCCTGTGGCTTCCTCTGAACCCCTTCCAGTCCCTTGCAGCTTCTAATTGATCTCTCTTCCCAAACCCTGAGCTTGTGACCTCCCTGAGCCTCATAAGCCTTTCTGTTTCTAGGACTTCTCAGCTTCCCCTCATGTTCTTGCCTCCCTGGGGGATCTCACCCATCCCCCTGGTTTCTCAGAACATCTTCTGTCTGCTGACTCTACATCTGTATTTCTGATCAGACCTCTCCCGAGCAGCAGAGCTGATCGCAGGTGTTCCTACCTGGGTGTCCTGTAGACCCCTCCACCCTGCACATCCCAGAAGGGCCTACAAGCTGGCATCCTGCTCTGCTCTTCCTTGTCAGGGGTCTGCGAGGGCCCAGCTGGGGCCCCAGAGGTGCCCAGGACCCCTTCTTGGCTCACCCCTCCCTGCGTCGTCATCCTCGGGTTCTTGTCGGGTGCTTTGGTGGTGGTCTCCTGACGTGGGCTGCCTCTGGATTTTGCTTGCATTTTCATCCCTGGCACTGGTTGGCGAGCCCTGGGGAGCAGGGAACGCATTTCCCCATTGGTCTGGTACCCACAACTCGCTCCGTGCTCTCATGGGGAAGTCAAACTCTGAATCCAGAATCCATCAGAAGACTTTGTTAATAGGTGAGCACGTGAGATATTTAATAAGGCAGAGTGTTTATAGCTGAGAGTTATGTAATCACTAAGATTTTAGGAAACCTTCTTTTATGTTCTTTGCTGCACCAATTTATTGGCCACTGGGAGATTCTTTCTGTGCTTTCAAAGATGCCAAACACTTTCTTCTGGTAGTTTCTCCACCAGTGTGACCAGGAGGATCTAGTGGAGTTGGCTCTGCCTCAGCTGGCTCAGGTCGTGACCGTGTATGAATTCCTTCTGATGAAGGTGAGTGTTCTTAGTGTTTCTGAGTGACTGAGGGCTGATTTGAAGCTGTTTGGAAAGGCAGCCTTCACATTCACAGCAGACACAGCCACCCCCTGGGAGTCGCTACCCCCCCCAGGACAGAGCAGAAGCGAGCCCGGGGCCGGCGGGGGGGCAGGTGGCTGCACCGCCAGGCAGGCCGCTCCGAACTCCCTTGACTGTTCTAACTTTGTGCGGGAGGAGCCGAAGTCAGCTTTCTCCCTGGCGCCCACCCACCCTGCCAGCCTCCTGCTGCCTGCGTGTCCCGGCAGGCCCGCGGTCCGGGCCTTACTGCCTCCCTGTCTGGCTCCCCTGGCCTCTGGTCTCTGGCGGCCCTCACCCTGGGGTGGCTTCCTTCCTGGGCAGCTTCTCCCAGGCCCTTCCTGGCGTCCCCGCCGAGCCGAGAGCTGGGCACATGGAGGCCCTCCCTGGGGAGCGGAGGCAGCGCTGCACGGATGGGCGCCGAGGGCTCGGGAGCTGGTGTCCTGCCCTCCTTTGGGTCTCTCTGTCTTTTCCATACCACTGCCTCGGGCTGAAATGTGTTCTGTCATCTTTGTCTTCACTAAGGTTGAAAGAGGTCATCTAGCAAAACCTTTCTTCCCAGCTGTATACAAGGAATTTGAAGAGTTGCACAACATGGTTAAGAAAATGTGTCAAGATTACCTGCACAGTTCTGGTCCCTGTCTTCAGGAGCCCCTGGAAATAAACAACAACAAGGTAACAAGCTCGCAGGGGAGGACGCGTCGCTCTTAGGGCCAAAAGGAGTCTGTCCCTTAAAAAGGAGACTATTTCAGCAGAGATGTTGTCATAGTCAACTTCTTTTTGGTGCTTTTTTCCATGAAGTGAAGGTTTTTTGTCTTAACATAAAAGCAATCTGTACTTTTTTCAGAAAACTTAGAAATGCAGATAAGCTAAAAGAAAATTGTCAACACCGTAGCCCCCCCTCACTGAGGGATGCAGGTCACAGGCCACAGGTTGTGTTGTTTCTTCATTATGTAGGTTTTTGCAAAGGGATGAGACCAACAGTTTTAGTTTGTGGTTGCTTTGACAAAATTCTCGTTTCAGTGTCACTGTCTTCATCAGACTGGCTTTAGCTCTGTCGGGTCCTTGACAAAAGCACATTGGGAACAGATGTGGTTTTACTTGTTTTGGATAAAACCTTTTGCTGGGCATAGCACACGCCCCGTGGTCAGGCCATGCAGGGGCCTCTCACTGTGTCCAGCACAGAGCATCCCCTAACCCTCACAATGTCCCTGCCCCTGCTCCCCGCCGCCCCATGAAAGTGTGGCACTGAGTTCGTGGTCTTTTCCTGCTCTCAAAAGGCCATGAGTTTAAAATAGTGTCTGGTTTTACAGCAACATGGATGGACTTGGAGGATATTATGCTGAGTGAGGTAAGTCAGAGGAAGACAGATACCATATGATATCACTTACATGTGGAATCTAAAGCATAAAACAAACCAGTGAGTATCACAAACAAATAAATAAGTAGTGTCTGGTGTATTTGAAAAAGTGTTTGCCCAACAGTGACAAATCCTTGGGCCATGCTGACTTTAACTGCTCTTCATATTTTGTTAAAGTGATGAAGGACCTGCCTGTCTGTGATCAGAGGCTGTCATCATTAGCTATATACAAATTCAGTATTTACTGTAAACTTTTTTTTGTTTCATTTTCTCAAATTGTATATTAGAAAAATATAATGGATTTTTACTGAGCCTCATATAGATGCCCTGGTTGGCAGTTGTCAACCATCTGTTCTTTAAACTGTAGGTGAAGCAGGCATGGGTACCACCTGTTATGAACCAGACAGGACGTGCAGGGACGCTGTGCATGCCCACTGGACCCATCTTTGCAGGCAGTTCAGGCTGTGCCACAGCCTATTTATTAATTAATTTATTTATATTTATTTAACAGAGGTGCTGGGGATTGAACTCAGGACCTCGTGCATGCTAAGCATGTGCTGTACTGCTGAGCTGTACCCTCCCCACTCACAGCCTCTTTGGAGCAAAGGCAGTGGCTCAGTTTGCAGGGGACACTGTCAGGTTGGTAGGTGCTAAGCTTGCTGACCCTTGTTCTCTACTCTGACCTGGAACTGCTGCCCCTCCTGCCCACCCCTCCCATCCCCTGCGGTGCTCTCTCTGTGCTGGCTGTGTGTAAACCAGGGACCTTTACATCTGCTGTTTTACATAGGTTTTGCAGGTGGAATCTAATCCTTACAAAATCCCTCAGGGCAGCTGTGGTCTGCAGTTTCCCTCAGATAAGGACTCAGAGATGTAGCTGCCAAGGTCACCCAGGCTCCATGCAGAGAAGCTAGGATCCAGCTCAGACTCTCAAACCCGCATCCTTCCCACCAGCTGGGAAAGGAGATCTGGTTCCAGCATAGGCGGGATTATTTTTCTGAAGGTACCAGTGAGAATTCAGGAAAGGAGGCATACTGGGCATAGAAGTTACAGTGGTGTCAGACTCACATTCTTCAGCTTGTGGTGACAATTTATCTTCACTTTCCCGTTAGATGGCGCCTGGCTGTACAAAGGGGCTTCACAGATTTAAACTCAGCCCTTCGATTCTTCTGTGCCGACGTGCTTCTGGATCTTGTGTGTTTTGGGTGAAGCATCTCTGTGGCCCCTTTCTTCTCAGGTTGCTGAATCCTTGGGAATCACGGAAGAATTCCTGAGGAAAAGAGAAACACGCACAGATTGCGTTCCACCCAAGTGCGCCAGCCGAGAGATGGACAGGGAGGGGCCGGGAGAAGCCGGCCGACGGAAGAGGGGCAACCAGGTGGGCACGGCGTTGAGGGGGTGCCGGCTACTGTCTGTTCAGGGCTGGATTATTGTAGTTACACCTCTTCAACTCACAGCATGGTTCCCAGGAAGAAGAGGTTTCTTCCTAGTCTTGGCTGATCGGCCCCTCTCTTCACAGACCACAGAAGAGGGGCTGGCTTCAGTGAAAAGGACCAGGAGAGAAACTCTGCCCCAGGATACTGAGCCTTCTGCCAACATCGGAGGCCAGCAGAGGCCGGCCCTGTGGGTCCCAGCTGCCAGTGAGGGTAAAACGCTCTTTGTGGTGTGCACCCCAGGGCTCGGGCCTGCTTCTCAGGGGTGGGTGCCCCTGCGGCCACATGTCAGAGAATCTTCTCTTTCTCAAGAGTTTTACCTCCACCTCCCACTATTCTGTCATTCCATGTTCATTCCCTCTGGGTCTTGAGGTATTTGAGGTTTACTTGGGTCATTTATTGAAATAAAGAGCTGCCTTGTGGTGAGTGGGCTGCACCTGAGAGGGTCCCGAGAAGTTGAGCAGACCTGAGAGCAGGGACAGGTACACAAGACACACTGCGTCTGTGGCTTCGCCTTCCTGAGACTGGCTCTAAGTGTCAGCTGAGATTTAACATTTGAAAAGAAGACATTCTGGCTTTTATTTTGGCTCTAGCCAGAATCAATCAATTAGCCACTTTGAACACATGGCAGGCAAACTGAGAATCACTCTCTAACTTCCTAAACTCTTACCAGGGCCTCCTGATGCCTTGCCTCATCCTAAGGTCTCCAATTTAAAGAGGCATTCTCCACTTCAGAACTTACTGCTCAGTTCTGCCGTCGTGGAGGGCAGGTCTGTTCAGTGAGAACAGGGAAGACTGCCCCCAGCTGGAATGCAGCTCCCCTCGGCCGACTGGTCGGCTTCCTCTTTGCGTTTCATCCGTCCTTGGAAACGACCAAGCCCAAGTAGCAAGGAGGTTCATGTTTTCTTTTTTTTGGGCAAGAAAATACTTTGGACTAGCTTGTTTGGGGTAGTGAGTGCAGTGAACCAGCCATGATTACCTGTTTTT